ATTGCACATATTGTAACAGAAGTATTCCTTTAATTTGATAAGCATATTGCAGCATATTTCAGTAGAAGATTGTTTTAAATTGGATAAGCATATTGCAGAATATTGTAATAAAAAATATTTTTATCGGATAAGTATATTGCAGCATATTGTAACAGAAATGTTGTTTTAATTGAATGAAAAGAATATTGTATAACATTGCACAATATTGGTTCGTAAACACTTTCAGTAATGTACATTCTTTTTTCTTCTTTGAAAAATTACAGTTGAAAATATAATGAAATTCTTACCTTACGAAGATCACAATAATAGTCTATCTGTAAATAAAAACACATCTAAACTTACTTAAACTGCAAACAAAATAATGCGATAAAGAAAAGTATTTCTCTATAGGCCATATACTGTTTAAAAGTTCTAACAATTTTGGACAGAGAATTAAAATTTATTCAATTTCAAATCTTAAATAAAGCTTCTTTCACTTTTTCACTTTCAATAATTTACAAAGCCATATTTGTTTAAAGCTGTACGATCAATTTTTTTTTATCTTGGATAATTATGATTTTCCTTGCCATTCATTTCCTGTGAAAACATTTCTTTTTTGTCCGAAAAATTCACACTCTAGTTCGCATCTGTTATGGAGGAAAATGTAAAATTTAATATATATATATATATATATATATATATATATATATATATATATATATATATATATATATATATATATATATATATATATATATATATATATATATATATATATATATATATATATATATATATATATATAATCGTGGTTCCACAATAAATACAATGACTGCTGATAACCTATGATAACATGAGATTTGAAGATTGAAATAGGAGAAGAAGTGCAGCGGTCAAACAGACTACTTATTTGACTTAACAAATTCTTATACATGACATGAGATAAACAGGCGCTCAACTCTGCAATTCTACCCAGTAAGCAAAAGGTTAAGGTAGAAGGCTTCAAAACTGTTGGTACCCAAGGGATAAGTCCTCGCTCTAACCGTTCTAAAGTTATGGCCAAGGTTAATTTTTTTTAAAGTGGATCAAATTCTAAAGTCAAATTCAAGAGGTAAAATATTTGGGTACCCCCAAAGAAAGGTCTTGTGACAAGAAATGCACATGTGAAATATGAAAGTCATAGCTCTAATCATTCAAAAGTTATGGCCAAAGTTAAAGTTAGGCAACAATTCTCAAAAGTGTGTCAAACTCCAAGGCCAAGAGGTCAAATATGTTGGTACCCAAAGAAAGGTCTTGTCACAATAAATGTACATGTGAAATATGAAAGCCATAGCTCCAACCAATCAAAAGGTATGATCAATTTTAGGGTTTTTGCGGACAAACAGACAGACGGACAAACAGGAAAAATACTATATCCCACAAATTTTCGATCACGGGGCATAAAAATAATGTTTTACCTAGTCATACTTTCGATCACGTGATCTTTCTCGAAAGGCATAGAATTATTTCTCTAAATACAACTTCGGCACAAGACAGGAAAGGATATTTTTCGTCATTTGAATAGACTAAAACGATAATATCCATGGGTAAAAAAAAATACTTGACACCTGCAGATCATACAGCTTTAATATAATATCTTTGACATATGGGTGAATCAAAAAGAAGAAGGTAGGACACATAATCACCAACCAGCACTAAAAACACAGGTTTTGTGATTAAATTTCTTTGTCTGACAATGTTTCTTATGATATTGGCTAATATCCTGCCAAATATCTTACTGACATCTTTAGTAGCAAAAAAGTTTTGCCCCAAACATGCTAAAATGTAAGCAATGCAACCCCTTTTTGTGCCATTTTGAAAATTTCCTATTTAATTTAGATCTGTTGAATAAATTATGATATTTCATGTTAAAAGTATAAAGACTTTTCATATGGAGAAATGGTGTTCATTCTGCTCATTTACATATCGGCCATATTGGAGGTATAATGGCGACAGATTCCATAAAGGTTTATATAGAGAACGTACAATAAATCCCAGATTTTTATGTACTAACTATTTCGGATAAAGTTCTTCCGCCGATGTTTAGATTTTTCTTAATATCTTCTACCGGAAATGACAATATTGATGATGCCAAAGTGAAAGTTGCGACCGCCTTTTTGATTTGAAATTCCGAAGCGAGAGTATAATGTTTTAATTAAGGAATAACTGTCTTATTTTTTGGATTCATGATGTGATCAATCGAGTGGCTTGCGTGATAATTTGCATAAACGCCGAAGGCGTTTGTGCATAAAATTATCACGCAAGCCAATCGATTGATCATCGTCATGAATCCAAAAAATAAGACAGTTATTCCTTATATTTACATGCTCCTGATTCAGCAAATTCCCGTGCTAATAGCCCCGCTTCTGTCTCTATTTGTCCCGCCCCGCACCGCACGTGATTTTTTTTTAACCGCGCCTATCGATGAACCAGTAGATTTATGTAGAAATAAAGTATTTTTACAATTTGTAATTTTATCTCGGACAAAGACATTGGAAATGTAAATATTGAAGGAAAGAGCACAGAATTGATGTCTTTATCATTTTTGGTGATTAAAGGTAAGTGTTTATTCCAGGTTGACAGAGTTCTTCCGCCGATTAATAGAAGCAGACAAATGCCTATGTTTATAAAATGCAGATGATTTATCATTTCATGAAGAGTTACGACCGCCTTTTTAATTTGAAAACGGCAATTTCTTTCATCAGTGTGACCTACTTATTACCAAAAAAGATGAGTTGTCAACTGTTAATAACACAAAATTCTGTCCAAATAACTATGACGGAGGATTAAAGAGAAAAAAAAACAAACTGTGCTTGCAGGTTTTAATATAAAAATTTAAAGAAATGGAATATTTTGAGTTTATGCAGGATCTTATGAATATTAATGAGAAGTAAATCACGTGGGAGCAATCTCATTAATAAACTGTACATCATTTCTCCATATGTCTAATAAAATTCAGTATATTAAACTTTGAATTTAAACTAAAGAAAATTTGTTTTAACAAAATTATAATCACAGCTGGTGCTTATAGAATTACAAGAGTTCAATAGAAAAAAAATGTAATAGTGCAAAGAAACAAATACAACAATAAAAAAAACCCGACAACAACAACAACAAACAAAAAAACTGATTTTGAAGAACTTTAGAACAATCAAGCAATAAACTATGCAATATACAAGATCTTTAAACGTTTCATGAATTACAAACGGCATTTCAGAGTCTTGTACATGTATCTATGTGAACCTTCAGTGTATTTATGTTAGGAGTGCAACAATTGATGGTTTACCCCTACCCCTCACCCGCTTGTAAAAAAAAAATCACCAGTATGTATTTTTTTATTTTGTTTTGATTTGTTTTGTTTTTGGTTTCTTTTTCGGAAAACAAAGACCCCCTAAAGTTTACAAAAGTTTTCATTACTAAACTTTTTTTTTTTAAATGTATAACATTAGCAAAAAATAATATTTTTAGCAAAAAAAAAAATGAAAATATGAAATGTTTCATAATTTCAAAACAAATAATTGCTTTACAATATAATTAGAAATAATTTATTGTGTGTTATGATCTACGGGATATGATGTTTATTATAATAAACATCAGAAGTTAGGGGTGCAAAATAATAAGGCAAAATAGGATCGCTTCACAATTTAGTATTATTTGCTTGGCATTTTCAGTATTGCCTAAATGGAAAATAAGTAATTTGTTGGGAATTAACTAAAACTTTTCAAACGAGCATTGATAAAAATAATGTAAAAAATGTATTTAAAAATCTGATTGATTTGCATATACAAGAGAAGAAACTCGTTCATGATCAAGTTTTATATCCCTAACATAATTCTGAAGTGGAAGAGTCAATCATTTCTTTCGATTATTCCAAAAACTGTAAAAATTAGTGAAAAATGTACCAATATTTTTATTTTTCAAATGAAAAAAATTCTGAAACTTTTTTAATGCATTAGTGCATTCTATTGCTACTTTGGGAATTTTAACTGGAATGTATATACATTGTGATGTTATATTGAAAATCAAAAATGGTAAGGCAAATTAGTTTTTTCCCGCAAATTTTCAATTTTCCGGTTAATATTTTGAATTTTCCTGAATATCTCCACAAGTCTGAGTGAAAAACAACCTCTTTATCAGGATATAAATAATTTCGTATAAAATTTGAGACATCCAATATCCAAGCGTTAAATGCTGGGCTGGAAACCGACATTTCCATTTCTGGGCTAACTCATATGCCCACAGAGCCATGAGCTATAATGAAAGTGACAAATGTTAACCACAATTCGATATATAAATTGTACATGCAATACCTCCAAGAATGAATTTATAACATTGTATTCTACTTTATGATAAAAACAAACCTCTAGGGTCTATAACTTTCTGTGTATTATAAATGATTTCGTAAATGAGGGCTTAAAACCAACATTTCAATCGCTGGGCTATCTCGTACGCCCACAGAGCCATATTAACCACATTTCTATATACACTGTAATACCTGCAATAATGAATTCGATATATTGTACATTAAGACTATATGATAAAAACAACCCTATAGATTCTCTGCCTTTCTGTGTATCACCTGTTTACCTGTGCTATTGTTGTCACCCATAACCATGGCGATATGATTCTCTGCTCTATTGCTTATTGTCAGAAAGAAACCATTGGTTCAGTGCTGTGAGACGACGCAGGGGATGGCATGCTCGGTATATGAAGACTATCGATAACGCGTATTGTTGACTTGTAGTCTTGAAATGTCAGCTATATCATATAACATTCTGTGGATTGGCCCACTGTCTAGTAATGTAGACAAACATTAGGATTTTCATTAATGACCAAAGATCTGAGGGAATTGAAATATCCAATGTATTCGGACCACTGTGTTGGACTGGGCAGTTTTGTGTGGATAATTGTACTAAGAGAGAAAGCGTTAAAAGCGATTTTCCGCTGATTTTCAGCGAGTCTTTTGTTGCTCTGAATTGCCTTTAGTGATGTAGCTACCTGATGGAGTAGTGTCAAATAATCGATACCCGGAGTACAACTTTTAATATCTATTGATCTAAACCAATCGCACAGCTGTCGTGGAATAAATACTACAGATAGTTTAACAACAATCAGCGGGTTACCAATCATACATTTAGAAGAAAACCTGTTGACGCGTTTTTCTCTCCTCTGTTTATATTTCCTTATTTAGACAGCATGTTATCTCGGGGAGTGTGGAAATTTTTCTTAAATCAGTGATAAATATTTTCCGTGTTTTTTTTTCAAATGTTGAAATATGAAAATGTGATAAAACCTTAAATAAATAAATCGGGAAATAGAATGTGCTTGGAGCCTAAATCTAGATGGTGTTGCTGAGTGGAGCCATGACTCGGCCATCTCACTACGGGTGCTGCACCCTGCTCCATCTCCGTGAAGACAACGCCAGGTTTATTCTCCTATTTGTAGTGCTACTACTCTACATGTTTGCGGGGGCATTCTTGTTCATGAGTCTGGAACAGGACAATGAATATAAGGAGAAAGAGGAGTACAAGCGCTACCTAGCGGAATTTTATGCCCGAAATCCCAGCGTCAACAAAACAGATTTGGAGGCTCTTCTGAAAAGGCACGGCGAGGCGGAGTCCGCTGGGTATGTTGATGACAAAAGACCGCGATGGGATTTTCCTGGGGCCTTCTACTTCGTGGGAACTGTTATATCTACAATAGGTAGGTATAATACCTTACAAACCTTCACTGTTTTCCTATTTAATTAAATATTAAATTTTTACATTAGAAAGTATTAATCTCTCAATATTTCATGCCGTGGAAAAAGTGTTTTATTCTCGATTTCTCTTACTAATGAAATTATGAAAGTTTTTTTGTCATTCTAAAATTTAACATTACAAGAAAAAATAAACACCAATTGAAAATTGTGAAAACACCGAAAAAGTTAGTCGCCATGTTTGATAATAAAAAAGATCACAGAAAGTGGTATAAGAATTAGAACATATCTGATTTAATTTAAGTTTGCTCACTAATTATGGGAGTAAAAGAACTCATTCTGTATAGATGAGATAACTTGTCAATTTGACACGAATGAACGTACAACAGGAAAATGAGAAAATGCAATTGATAAAGAAAGTCACATTGTGAAACACACAGGTCTTAATACCTCATTTGCTTATTACTTGTGAAATTTCTTCATATTTTTTTTCCTTGTCTAAAAATCGATTTTTTCCATCAAAACTGTCTTTGTCTCCTGATAATAATATATAATTATCTAGCTTGTTACTTCGAATAGACGAGGAGTAATTTCAATGTCATCCCAATATCCCTGAACATTGGGTTATTTTTAACTTAAAGAGTCTGAATTCCAATATTCCATAATATTTCTTCTGTGGATATTTTTTTTAACTTTGAGAGTCTGCATCAGTTATGATTGCAGATATTGTCAGTTATAAGAATGGGACATTTCTTAATTGTTTAGTCAAGCCTTAAGGATTGTCCATAAATACCGTAAACCCTTTCGTACTGACGCGCATATAGTCAATATCATTTGAATAATTAATTAATGTCCCTAAGTTGACTACAATGGCAAAGTGACAAAATTCTTATTTATTGCCCATCAATTCGATAGTTACTTTAAGGAATTGTGAAATATAAATGCATCAGCACCTTTTCCTTCTCAATCAAGTCATTTTAATACTGTAACGATTTTACCACCTTCTTCAACCCCCTGATTCCAGTAAAAAAGATTCCTATAATGTAAACAATGTTTACATCATTGATAAATGTCAAATAAGGGGGAAAAACGGTAAAAATAATGTTTCATTTAACTCATAGGGGAAATAAAAAGGATAAACTGATGAAGAAGCGCTTGTATAATTTACATGAATGTGACGTATGAATACACTTTATGTACTTTTGTTTTTAATACCTATCCGTTAATTTAGATGTAAAACAGCGACTAATTTATTCTATTTTTTGGATACCCCCTAACAAAAATATATTATAGTTAACTACAGTTTACTATAGTTAACTATAGTCTACTATAGTATCAAAGTTTTTAACTATTATAGTAAATCAAAGTATTTTACTATGGATTTCTGATTGTTATATTTTATGTTCTCCAATTCATACAAGCGCTTTTTAATATTAAATGGAACAATAACTTGTATATTCACATATCATTTCCAAATTTAACATTACTGTGATCGAATTAAAGAAATTTTAAGCTTTGAAAACTTAAAAACAGTTCTAGAGTAGAGTTTCATAGAAAATCAAAGTTTTTACTATAGTTAAAAATATAGTAAATTTTTGTTAAGCCCTATTCGTTGATAAAGATGTGAAACAATGATTAATCAGACTTGTACTTGATAGCGTCCATGTCCAAATCTCTTTGATCTTATCTCAATCTTATGTCCAAGGAAATCTAATTATAGTGTTTTTTTATGTCTAAAGTCCAGAACACAGGATGATATTGATCTAAGAACTCATACACAACAATCTGAATTAGAAACTTCAATTTACATACAAATGCTAAGTAAAAAAGAAACTTAAAAAAAGAAGAAGATCGATTTTTTTCCTATGGTGTTTTGGTAACTTCCGTCTCATTACAACATAAAAGTTAACATCCTTATCATGACACAGCAATCCCATCTCCTGAGGACTAGAGTTGTGTTAATGTTGGTCGGCCAATCGACATTCTTTAGTCAATTACTTAAGAAAGCATGCAATTTATTTTTAACGAGACAGCATTTTCCACATCTAACGTTGCTGCATGGCGGACACATAGTTATCACTTCGTCTGTCCGGTTGTTTGTTTTTTAAGATTCATCTATTCAAAAGAATACCTGAAGATGTAAACACGTGTTCCATGGACTACTCTTATGCAAATTGAAAAAAAAGAGAAATCGTCATCTTGAAGTCGCTGAAAGTGCAACTTCCTGTGGACTTTCAACAAAACTAACATTTTCTCGAGTCACTTCCGATATTTGTTCATCGTGTGACCAGAAATCAATAGGCCTTAATCCTTTCAACAGCTCCATGTGTCAAGATAAGAGTTCTTAAAGAGTAATTGCGTCCTCGGAGTGCTTCAAGCAGATGCTTTGTTTGTGAAATAAGGATAAATGCATGGTAATTTTGTTGGCTTGAGCCGTTTGGTCGATGGCTGGCGCAGTCCTTATTGCTTAGTCCCAAGAGTTTTACGAGTGTTGTAATTGCCTTTTTTATACCCTTCACCAAACATATTTCATAAAGTAGCTAAGAAAAAAAAAAGTTTTAATTATTTCATTGCAAACCTTGTATGCCAGTGTAAGGACGAGAAATAATGACCAACGCTCATTATTCTATGGGGGTCATTATTTCTCTTTACACCGCTTTTTAATTTCCTACAGAAACTATTTTTTTTTTAATGATGATGATGTACTTATGTTTAATTATGTATTTTATGTATTTTTAGTTCCTCTCCACGCATCGTTCATTTGAATTGTTACACTATTATTTTAGCTACAGATATTGGAATGTAGTAAAATATGAGAGAAGGCCGATATTGAAAACAAAAAATTGAAGTAAAATTACCATTTAAGCTTGTTTGGAAGATGAAAACATAGCTCTATCACATTTTCATTCTTTCGAATAACGATTGATGTACATCTCTCAGCAAGGAACATAACCTCTTGGATTTATCAGTTACATTTAGATTGTCCATCACTCAGATTTTCTTAATCAATCAATTCATAAAAGCCCCTAATATTGTCTATCGAATGCAATGTCTGTCAAAGAAAATTAAAGTAAATTATCATATTCACATTTGTCCCAGATGTTTTTCTTAGTAATGTGAAAAGACACATCACTGGATTTGTTGTTGTTGTTGTTGTTGTTGAAATTGATCAACAATTATTTTCATTTCCAACTTTCATTGTGATGTCTGAAAGTTAAGTGTGGTGATTTAAGGAATCACTGTCTAGTTTGTTGGGTATGCCAGGGCATGGGATAATTTGCATAAATTATGTCACTTTTCCAACTGTCGTTGATTTTCCTGGCATACCCAACTAACTAGACAGTGGTTCCTTATATTTACATTAATATGTGAAATAAAATTGTAAGTATAATTTTTATAAAAAATCTGTCTTATAGATTTTAAAATACATAAGGCCTCACGTGTTAATTTCCATAGTCCCCGCCAACTGACGTCAGACAAAAACCCAGCAACAAGAGATTGACATGCATATTAGGCTCCTGACCTTTCACTTGGCGAAATTTACATTCAGACGTAATTATCAAAAGATCAACTCACTTAACTTTCAAAGAGTTATCACAGAGAAAACAATTAGAAATGTAAATATTTCTTGATATTTACAACTGAATGTAAATTTTGCCAAGTGGGGTCAAGTGCCTAATTTGCATGTCAATCTCCGGCGGCTGACTTTGTGTCTGAAGTCAGTGGGCGGGAACTTTGGAAATTAAACTAAGAATGTCTCGTGTATTTTAAATCTATTTGAAAGCATTTTTATTTATATTTATGTTTCACATATATGCATGTATATGTAAATGAAAGGAATCTCTGCCTAGTTTGTTTTTCGGGTATGCCAAAAACATCAACGAGTGTTGAAAAAGTGAGATAATTTATTGATAGCGGGCTCGCCTTCATAACCCCAAAAGACTAGGCAGCAATTTCTTAATTACACTGCACCTTTAATCTCAGCCTTCAGACAGTATAACAAACATAAGTATGTCAAGTGTATTTTCTATGGATCATTCTAACATTGAACGTGAGATATTGCCATGTCTGTATGTATTTTGGTGTTCTTGAAACCGTGATAGTCTTTCAAAGTATTACATGTTTTCAAAAAGGATATTCTCTCTGTACTAGAACTTCTATTTTCCGCCGTTCTACTGAAATGGCATCCACTTTTTGTTATAACATACTAAATTCAATGATTATAAAAAAGACTTTTTTGATGACACTTCTCAAATGTTGGTCATGAATTGTAAACAATAAATTCACCACTAGTCTTTGAAACAGAGATAATTTCACGACCTTCAGTAAAGGTCTTGATAGAATGTTTATTGATTACTTGGTACAATTATTCACTGATTTAATGAACTGTTTTAAATGCCGTGGCGTCTCGGAGGATACCCACAAGGTGCCGTAAAGCGTTCGCTTCGACAAATCAAATGATGTTCTACTAAAATCATTGCAGGTTGCTTGTCTTTGTACTCGGACTAATCCGTGAGGTATTAAATGCAATTTGTACATCATTTATTAGTAAAAACAAGGGTAATGTATAGAGGCAAACCTTTTAAAAGCGTGTAATGACATATTATGCATAAAAGCATATCGATTCACCTTAGCATAGTTTGGCGTTTTTGATAAAAAAAAAAGAAGAAAGAAAAAAGATAATTTACTAGAATTCAGTAGAACTTCCTTGTTGTGCTAAATCACTAAATATTATATCGAAATTCGTGAATATTTTTATCCAAAAATGTAATGGATTAATGCCGATGCCTACCTATTGTAGGGCATATATATGTATATATTCCATACGTGCGGTGGATACTACCCATAAGATAAACATATACTTTATCCATGTGTATGCTTTAACAATAGCGCTTCCGGATTTGACAAAACCTCTCGCTTCAAGATGTACATTTATCGAAACTTCTATTTGTGAACGTTCTTGCGTTAACAAATGAATGTTAATGAGCAAAAATGTTCGTAAAAA